CATACATATTAATGTGAATCCTATATAAATTACCACTAGATCTTTCTACTTTTTAGTTCTTAGAATAACAAAAAAAAAAAAATCACCTTTCCCTACTCTTAAAATCAGCATTTCATCATCTTGTTTTTGTTTGTGCACTAGCTTTTGTATTCTTGCTGAAAGCAAAATAAGTTGCAGCTATTGGTGTAGTTGTTGACATCTAATTTATCCTCAATGCATTGAAATCTATGCTTGGACATTAAAGATCCTTCACGTATTGTCTCTTCCAAGGAAGGTAATTCTCCGCACATAATGTGATTTTTTTTATAACTTTGTTTTTTCATCTATTTGCGAAACATTATTATTAATTTGGTGCAAGCATCATTATGATTAGTACAATGATGAAGAAAGAATGATGTCAAGGTTTCACAAAATTATGAATTGTTTTGTAGGAGTAAATTGATTCGTAGCTTATAGTTATGAGATTGACAATTTTTGAAAAACCTTATGTATCCAAGGTCAATTTGAAGACTTTTTGGTCTACATTTTTATAAAAAGAATAATACAGCGTACAAAAGAGTATGCTGAATTTGTTTTGTTCACTATGTTGTATATGCAACATCCTTCATTGTTGAGCTGACTTGTAAGTCATTGTCATGCAACAATAGGTTTGGAAGTCATTGCTAGTGGTTTTATTGTAGAAGGGTGGTGGAAGTGTTGCTTAAATCCTATTAAGTTCTTATATGCCAAGTTAAAGAACTTTACAAGATTTAGATGTTGTCTTAGTGTCAAGTTTAGAGCAGACTTGGCTTTGAATTATGTATGTGAGCTTCTTGAAGATGTTTAAAAGGATAGTAAAATAAGTAATTGTACTAGTAGTATTGCAACCACAATCTTGCATATTGACATTGTGGTTTTTGTTGGAAATTTCTTCAGCTACTTATTGGATTAAAAACCAATTGAATCTTTATCATTTAAATGAGTGGGACCTAATTTCAAAGAGGTCTTGTAAAAGAATAGTCCTTGTAGCTGGATGCAAGTTTGAGACATTATAATGGCCCATTATTATTGTAATATTAGTGACCGAGCTCATCGACAAAAGTTTTAATCTCTAGAAAATTTGTATGATGTTCTTTTTGACAGGTGGTAGATGTGATGATGCTTTAGAGGCAACAAAAGTCTCTATCTTTTATTTTGAAATCCAACTTTGCTCCATAACTGACATATTTGTTGCTGAAATCCAAATCTTATAGGCTCGTTACGTATTCTTTTGAAGAGACCACAGAAGCTGGTAATTAGTAATCCATTGCTGAAAGAAAGAATGAAAGATCTTTAAACATATATTGCATATCAACTTTTGATAAACTTTTGTAATAACAAGCAATTTAGATTTAACATTGAAAAGTTGCTTATAGTGCTAGCAAAGCTGATAGGGTGATTCATCCACCCAAGGTAGAAACGAGTTGGACTTTGCCACACCACTAGTTAGGTTTGAGTCATACAATGCATGATTCTATCCTCCTTCAAGCTTGTTGTGTGCATATTGAGGTAGAAATTGAACCAATAAGTGGTTAGATAAATAAGAAGGCTATTGATAAGATATCAATCTATGCTTTATTATAGAAGCTAATTACATATGAGATGAAAATACATTTCTATTGAAATGATATTACTTGAATATTAGTAAATAGTAATAAGTTGATTATGCTTGCTAGTTAGTTAAGAAGCTTCATTGATATGACCCAAGTCTTATTATTCCATGGTTAAGAACTACATAGCTATCAAGTTCATCAGATTTAGACCTAAAATGATTCTCCACCATCAAAGCCTAATTTGAATTGCCATGATCTACAAACAATGTATAACTATTAATTCTATACTTTGATAAGACTATTGTATTGTAGATGTCTCCTTAGTTTTTGTATCCTTCAACTTTAGAGTATTGGACTTGTAGAAGGAACTATGATAAAAGTTCTTTTTTAAGATAATGATAATTTTTTTTATAATTTCTCCATTGAATTATTATTTATCATTATAGATTGTACAAAATAAAATATTTCATTGCAAAATTTCTTCTTTGATCTATCCATATTAAAAGAACATTTTTTAAAATTATCCTTAATGAATTCAATACATCAATCATGAATTGATATTTGTATTGTTTAGTTTCTAACTAAAACAACCTTCTTTCTCATTTTCACAAAGAGATTGAAAATTCTATAGCACTTTTGCAAAAGATTTTGATATTGAATGATTTGAATTGACAAAATAAAATATATCAAACATTAGGTTCTAGATAGTGAAAATCATTAAAATAAGATGTCTTCCTATGACTTTATATCATAAATAATTTTATCTTCAAATAAATTTAGAATTCATATTAAATTATATTACGATATGTGGATTAACAAAAAATTATTATTAATGGAAAATAAAGTGACTTTTAAAAATTAATATTTACTCTAAATAGTTATAAATAATAATTATTAAGAATTGAATATGTGTTGAATTCTATGACCTAAGAATATGATTTTTTATATCATGATAACAACAATATATATATATATATATATATATATAGTGACTCAAAATCTATTTCAATGTTGATATATTTTGGAAAGAATGGTATATTACAGATGAGTTATAGCAAATAATGACACATGATTTGTATAGCAAATAAAGTATTCCTTTACAACTACCAAATTACCCCAAATTGGAAAAAATCCATTAGATAATTACAGAGCTATAACCAATCTAATTTAGAATAGTATTGAAACAATTTTTTGAGTGTGGTGTCTAATTTTTGGATTCTATCAATTACTCAATATTATAACATTCTATCATCATCAAATTTACTATGAAAATATTATTCTTAATCTAATGATATCATTAATGCTTATTACTAGCTATAAAAGTATCATTCTTAATCACAATTTATGGCACGGATATATTCCAAATTATCACATTTTAGGACCTTCTAGAATCTTTTACAAATTTTTAGAACCTTCTAGATACTTATAGAATCTTCCACAATCTTTTAGAAAGTTTTGTAGACTTCTAAGCATCTCTTAAGACTTCTAGAAGCTTCTTTAGACTTCTAAAAGCTTCCATAGAAAGTACCATAGACTTTTGTAATCTTCATTATAGTATAAATAGGAATATTTGGAACCACTTTTACTATCAATTTCACTCTTTGTCTTTAATTGTGACATATTCATTTATCAGATTCTTGTATCTTTGATAATTTCTTGAACAACTATAAGATCCATTCCCTCTTCTCTCCAAGACAACATCATGTCTGCTCTTCTTCATTCTCAAAAATCTTATGGCCAAATTGCTTATAAACTTAGATGTAGTAAAATTACTATCTCTAGGCTAACAAAAAAAATACTTTTAATAGAAAGAACCTTAAATTAGGTAGATCAAAGAAGCTCATTGTAGTAGATGAAAGAAAAATCATTTGCCAAATCAACACTAAGAAGGCTATAAATGCTATTGAGGTTGCTAAAAACCTTAACAATATTATCAATAATCTTGTATCAACTCAAACCATTTGAAAAGTCCTCAAGAAATAGAATATGAAAGTCATGGTGAAGAAAAAAAAAAAAAAAAAAAAAAAAAAAAAGACACTATTATCTACCTGCCATTGGAAACAATGCTTGGATTTTGCTCTAAATTACAATGAATGGATTGTAGAGGATTGGAAGAGGGTTATTTGGTCAGATGAGACAAAAATCAATAGATTAGGATCAGATGGCAAAAAGTGGGTATAGAAGCAAAAGGATCAATCCTCTGTTAATAAGAAGATCTAAGAAACAGTTAACCATGGAGATGGAAATATAATGGTATGAAATTGTATGGAATTGAATAGAGTTGAGAGGATGGCAGAGGATGAAAGGAAGATGGATGCTAACTAATTAGTGGAAATTCTTGAAAAAAACCTACTCCTTAGTGTTGAAGAATTTGACATTTTTGTGGAAGAGGTGATTTTAGCAAAATAATGACCACAAGTATAATTCAAAACTAGCATAGAGGTAGTTTGATCATGATGGGATTAAAGTAATGGATTAGCCGGCTTAGTTTCTTGATCTTAATCCCATTGAACATCTTTGGGATCACCTCAAACGCCAACTCAATACTTAGAAGATAAAACCAAAGGAATTTTGGGAATTATGGAAAATAATAGCTATGGAATGGAATAATATTGAAGCAGATTTGTGCCAAAATTTAATAGAAAGTATGCCAAGGAGATTGGAAGAAGTTATCAAGGCCAAAAGAGGTCCTCTAAAATATTGGTATGTAATTGGATACTACACTCAAAAAAATGTTTCAATGTTGTTCCAAATTGGATTGGTCATAGCTACACAATTACTTGATGGATTCTTTTCAACTTGGGCCCATTTGATAGCTGTAAAAAAATACTTTATTTGCTATATAAACCACGTGTCATTATTCACTACAATTCATCTGTAATGCACCATTCTTTCCAAAATATGTCAACATTAAAACAATTTTTTGAGTCACTATATTTTTTTTACAATCTCTTTGAGAGAACAAGAGAGTAAGTCTCAATCTCTTCAGTTCTAAATAAAACAGTACAACATCTAAGATATAAACAAATAACTTCAACTTATATTGGGTTTTTAGTGGAGGTACCATAAGTGCTTCAAGCACTGCAGATTTGAGTGAGTAATTGAGTGTGTGAGCGAGAGAGAGAGCTGCTCACGTTCGGAGCTACGATTGATCTCCACGGATCACAAGGACCCCGAGGAAAACCCAATGAAGGATCATGGCAGTGCTTGCCATGGTGTTCCAAAAGCGTTGACAAGAGCAGGTTGGAGTCTGATCGATGACACGACCTAGCCCTAACGAGAGTCCACCACATGGCGAGGTGGGTGCTGTCGTGGTGTCCCACTAATCGCCGAAGTTGCGGTGTTGCCGGAGCAGATCCGCAGGGGAAGAGGTAGAAGGAGCGAAAGAGAGTAAACCCAGCTAACTTCGATAACCCCGCGCACACGAGGCGGGAGAGGGGGCCTAGCACGAGGCTGGAGACACCCCCTAGCTTGTCAGATTGCTAGCTAGATAGATAGATAGATAGCCAGCCTAGCACCCTACTCGAGGTTAAGTGCGCGATCTGTATCTCCGATCGATGTCGGAGCCCGTGAACGCAGCGTCCCGAACACCCTCTTCTTCCGTACCCGCTTCCCGTCGCCGCGGACTGTTCTTCAGAGCCCATCTGCTCGCACGAGGTCCCAATTGCGCGCAGCTTCCCGCTTCCTCAATGCGGAGGGGGGGGCTGGGAGGAGGAGAGTGCTCTGCCTGGACCATGCTCAACGTTTTCGGGTGGTTTTGCAGTTTTAAGCGGCGGATTCCTCTTCTTCAGTCGGGTATTGGTCATTGGTCTCCTCTAGTAGCTTAGTGACGTTTAGAGATGAGCGATCGTATCCTCGCCGTGGTCCGTTAGGTGGTGTGAGTCATCGGGTGTGGTAGTGCCGAAGCGAGGCTCAGGTTGATCACTTGGCGCATATGGTGGAAGCAAATTTGGAGGAATCAAGATGATAATTCTAGGTTTGCGCATAGTTAGGCTTGGGCGTTCAGTCGGTGTTCAGAAAGGGCTTCGGATCGATAGAATGTCGTGCGGTCAATGTCCTGATTGATCGTTACCTGTCGCCAGGGTTTGGTCTTGTGCCTCGGCTTTCCAGTGCTACGTCTAGAGCACCCCAATATCCTTGATGCTCGACTCTGATTGCTTCAATCTGTCATACAACCTGTTGCATTCTGGACGCGAGCGGTTGTGATGTATTTTGCTCTATCCCGACGGAGGATGTTACAATTCGCACAGGTTGATCGAATGCGACGGCCTGTAGATTTCAAGTGCAATTCCCTGGAGCGGCTTTAGTTAGACCTTCATGTATGCTCAGGAGGCCGTGCAGTTCTTAGGATTAGGAGAGCCCAGAATGGTTAAAAAATTAATGCAAGCTGAGCCTGAGGATACGAACAATCTCTTAAACCCTTTCCTCAAGTCTCACAATGTAAGAATCCTGGGTAGCGGAGACGAGTGGCTGGTGTTCGGGCACGGCTTCGGTAGTGATCAATCCGTCTGGCAGCTAATCGTTCCTCACTTCGCAAAGAGCTACAAGATTCTTCTCTTTGACTTGATGGGCGCTGGGTCCACCAATCCTCATAGCTTCACCTTCTCTCGTTACAACACTCTCTACGCCCACGCGGACGACTTACTGACGATCCTCGATGAGTTGGGCATCGTCAGCTGCACATACATTGGGCACTCCATGTCTGGCATGATTGGATGCATAGCGTCAATTGAGAGGCCGTCCGTGTTCAAGAAGCTCGTTCTCATAGCGACATCACCGAGGTATACTTTCTGACGAGCTCTGCCATCGTTTTTCCCTCACACTATCCTTTCAGAATGGCAGCCTGAGCTTTCAACTACTGGTTCGCAGATACAGTAACGACGGAGATTACATCGGAGGGTTTGAGATGGAGGAGCTTCATGAGCTGTTCGCCGCCATGCGGTCAAATTTCATAGCCTGGATTACTGGATTCTCACCCAAGGCCGTGGGATCCGACATCCAGAGCTGGCCAGTTCAAGAGTTCAGCCGCACATTCTTTAATATGCGACCAGATATTGCCCTTAGTATCTGCAAGACATGCTTCGCAAGCGACCTCCGCCCTCTCATTCCACAGGTTGGATCCACTATTTATCATCCCAGTTCTTATACAATTACCACTTTGTTCTCATCAATCGTGTAATTGTCTTTAATTTCTTGTCGATTTGGTACAGGTAATGATTCCATGCTATCTAGTGCAAAGTGGAGTTGATGCATCCCTGTCCATCAAAGTGGTGAAGTATATGGCTGCGAACCTCGGCGGCATGTCGCATGTCGACATTCTGCAAGACATCCAAGGTCACTTGCCTCATCTTACCCACCCTGAAGCCGTGATTGCTGTGCTTCAACGTGCGTTTCAATGGATTGGGTGATGCTGCAAGTGAATCCTCACTTCTCCATACTGTGGACGATGTAGCAATCATCATTGACCAACAGGTCTTAACTTAGCATCGGGAACCGAAAAAAAGGATCTGCAGTTCACGTTCTCTAAACACTTCCGTTTGATGTCGTGTATTTTTTTTGTGGAACAAGATCTGCGTCCCCCTGAACTACTTCGCTGACAGTGATCGGCGATCAGAATGTGAAACTGGTTTTATCTCTGGAATGATAGATGCTTTCACAGAAGAGCCTTGTACAGGAACGCATCGTTCCATCCGCCTCACTCCCTGCATTCTTACTCTTCGCTTTCGTTTTTGTAAATTCGGCAACACTTTGAATCTTGACATGTTGGAAAATTTGACAACCTTTTGTGTGCGAGTTGGTCAAGTGGCACTGGACTCACATCCCCATAAGAATGATCAACAAGTATGAACTCATTTTTTAATGGAGTATGCGAGCGTCGAGGAATTGAAGCATTCTCGCTTTTTGTCATGTCTATTCTCACGACAACAATGAGGTCTTGAGAAAGAAGTTATTTTGAACAAATAGTGGCAAGCAAGAGTGTATCTTCTAACACTGTCTGATGTACAAAGATGATTATCCACAGAATGGATGCTCTCACGGTAATCATGTGCATGGAATGCCCGAATAATGGATAAAGCACAGGAAGTGATATGTTTCTGACAAGGGTCGTTATTCCTAGTATTCATGAACAGATTCCTTTTTAAGAAATTTGTTTACATTAGAATTCCCTCAAATGAGCTTGTGTTGGTATTATCTTTCATAAATTACTTGTTAAGAAGAAGAAGAAAAAAAATTAAAAATTAAAAATTAAAAACTCATTCAATAATGGATAACTTGAGTGTTTGTAACATGCTTTGAGAAGCTTCTACTCCTAATAAAAAAAACCCAAGTGTGTTGAATAAACACGACAATATCAGTTCTTCTTTATATCTGCGTTTTGAATAAAACATAAATTCAATCCTTGCCAAACAAAGTTAAATCCACCTTTATTTTATTTTATTTATGTTACCAAGTAATGTCATTAACTCTAAGTTTCAATAAGCTGAAGCTTTTTAAGATTATATTTATTCGTTCTCAAACAAGTTTACTAAGATTGTTAGTTCAAACAATTCAGATTCATTATAGAACAACTCAATCTAGAAGTTTTCACCCTTGCAAGTTAAATTTATTTTGGTTCTATTTTCAAGAACAAAATTCCAAAAACAACTATTCTAACAGTTTGCTCGAAAGCAGTTCGTGGCCAGAATATAGGAACACCGTTATTCTACAACGGTAACAATCATGATATTCATCCTACGATCCTCTTTTCATATATATATATATATTTTTCCTTCATGTGGAAGAACTGAACCGCTTTGCCGCAAGTTCAAATCACCGATCAAATTCATTCTTTGGCAATATGAGTCGTCAGCAAGGTCGTAGAAAAACCCATCGCATGCATAACGTAATAAACATTCATGTTTAACAACTATAATAATGGGCATTATCTGTGGAAGAGTCCGCCAGAATCTTGTGATAAAATATCAAAGTCTCGTTACAGTTTCCTGCTCCCTGTCTGACGCGTACTCCTCCGCCCCTCCACCTGCGTCTTTTATTTTTCTCAGTTCAGTGCAACTTGATCCGCATCTTTGCTTTCAAGAGTTGGCTACACGAACAGATGAATCCAATCATAAAAATCTGCTACAATTCTTGTTCAGAATGTGTGCACCGCTCCGGATTGCAGCTCATGTCGAGGTGAAGACAACGACGACGTTGAGGATGTGATAACTGGTGACATCTTAGTCTCCCTCCTGGTGAATGTTTATCCTCTACTTGTGCACCGATTTCTTCATCAGGTATTCAAGTTACAGACGTGGCCGACTTTGCAATGCCATCTATCTCTTGGGACGAAAACCAAGGAAAGCCCATATAGCGTGTGTGTGTTTTTTCCACAGCGGTGGAATTTGGTGCATCTGACAAGGCATTGAGTGACTTCTATGAGCATAGATGGGGACAAGTTGTACCAAAATTCAAGCATGGACAGTAATATTGGAATGTTCTTTTAATTCGTGCGACGATGGCTCCTGAATCTACCTCGCGAGGTCCATCACTGAGAAGCCATCCGGTGAACTTCCTGTGTTCTCACAAGGCCGAGGGGGGGAGCACTGTTAATGGACGATGAGATCTCGTGACAAACTTTCACGTGCAAAGCACAGAGAATTGAAATGAGCTTTTCAGTGTTTCCACACGCGCGAGGATGTGATTTGAGAATCTTCGCAATGCCGAGCATGCTCCAGACATCATCAAGTCCTTTGTTTTTTATAGCAAAAATTGAAGCTCAGGTCAAGTTTCCACAACTTAATATCTTCGTTAGCTAATTTTCACCCTGAAAAAGCATGGCCCTTGTTTTCTTTTGACCTCATAATACTGGGACTGAGACCCCACAGAAGAAAACTTGGAAGGTTCCACGCCACAGGTATGCAGACACACACACACACGCACATATATATATATATATATATATATATAAGTTTCTTTTTTTTCTTTTCTTCGTCTATTAATATTTCATATTGTTCTTGGTTGTAATTTTACTGATGATGTAAAAATATTTTAGGTTACAAAATTGTTGTAATATCACATGTCCTCACATTTTTGGTTTTGATAATAATCTCTCTCTCTCTCTCTCTCTCTCTCTCTCTATATATATATATATATATATATAATATTACAGCGATTAATTCATATTCTTAAAATAAATAATTAGTAAAATTAAAAGAAAAAACCCTTAAATTTTTTTGGTAGGAATTTTTGTGAGAAATAAAAAAAATAAAAAATATATATATATTTTTTAATATAAGAGATAAAACATAATTCTGTTGAAACAATTCTTTCTAAAGACAGATTTTTTAAATTGAAAATATTTATATGGCTTTAATTGTGGGCCATATATATATATATATATATATATACACATACACACACATATATCTATTCTCGCCAAAATTTTACATCAAAAATTTTTTCTTTTTCTTTAAATTGTTAAACACTGAAAAAACTAAAAATAAAAAATAACATGTTTTAAATTTTTGAAAACATAGCAGCAATAAAAAAATATATTTTCAAATGTTTTTTCTAAATTTTCACAAAGTTTATTGATTTTTTATAAAATATTTCAAATATAGATTAGAATAATCTTAAGATTTGAAGCTAGAATTTGTTTGATAAGTGAATATTTTATAATAAATATTATTACAACATATATCTATATAGTAACAAATACAATTAATTTATTGTAATGTTTACTGAACAAGAATTTGTTAACAGAGCAAACCATTTTTGATTGAACAATCTATTATAAATAAGAAAACTTATATCATAATAATAAATTGTTAGTGTTAATACTATTTTTGAATTATATATATATATATATATATATATATATATATATTTATATTTATATATATTAAAAAAATATTATTTAAATCCTTAATTTTTAAAAATCTTCTTCCTATTAATCATTTGTTAAGTCTTTTTTTTTTTTTTTTTCATCAATTAATGTTCCAATAGATTTTTATAAAGAAAATCCTTAATCATATACATATGTATATATAAATATTCTAAAATAAATCATGTATGAATATACACAAAAACATATATTATTGAAAAAAGTTAAAAACACGTGAAAGAAATTTATTTAATTATTTATTTGAATTTTTTTTGATTTCAACATGTTATTCAAATCAAATATATACTTATACATGTACATTCATTATAGATAATTTCTTTGAAAAAAAAAATTGAGAATAAAATGAAATACCATCATAATTTAATTACCTTTTCAATGAAAAAAATAATAGTTAAAACTTACAACACTGACCTCATAGCTGTTGCAGATCCATTTCAAGAATGATGCCATGATCTTAATAAAACATTCCACAGTTCACAATCACACCAACAAATTACAAACAAAGTTTGACATTTAACTCGAATTTGTGTTGGAAATGGTTGTCAAAATTACTGAAACATATCATTGTCTTATTTCAGTAAACAAAGCAAACTTTTTTTCTACTTCTATCAAACGATCCTTAATTAGAAGTGATATGAGAACAAGACTCCTGGTCGGGGCAAACACAGCGTGCGCTTGATAGATTGTCAGGTCGTGATGTGCACTAAAGCAAACACTGAAAATAAACACTGAAAACAAAAACGATGGAGTAAGCATGTTAAACTGGCTTGCATGGAGGAAGAACTAGAACAAGACAACCCACTTCATGTATCTTAATGTCACATGCTTATTGATTGACGAAAACCTTGATTCTACTTCCCAGTTAAGTGTCGAAATATCTCGATCAGAACCACCAGAAATATATCTGCAACACCCAGTTCTCCCATTGAAGACCATGGATTAAACTCCAGTGTTGTTGCAGGAGGGAGCTCTGAACTTGACCATGAGTCTTCAGCCATGGAATAACACCGTGCAAGAAATCTAGATGGGTTCGACGCTTTAGACTGCGGTTCGGACGACAGTGTTCTGACTTCGATGCTTCCCCAGTCGGAAGCAAAAAAGTCATGGCAGCAGAGGCATGAGAGAATCGACAGGTAGTAGGGTTAAAGATAGCAGCGGAGCTAGCGTTGCGGGTGACAATATTATACCTGGTCTCGATAATGTTGCACCTGTATATTTAGTCGCAATAACTGCCTGAGTGACACCACCTCCAAATGGTATTTTTATTTTTTATTTCTAACTTTTTTGTAGATTTAAACGAGACTTTCAGAGCAGAATCAGACGCCGGACTACACACTGGAAGTCTTGAATGCGTTGTCGATGTCGACTAGTTGAGAATGCTTGACGAATGCGTCTTAAAAATCAATGTTTTGTAATTGTGTCAGGATCAGGAACTCTGTAATTCGTCAGTTAGATGAAGATCCAAACAGTTCTTATTAAGAATGCAACCTCTTGCCTGAACAGACGAAAAACAAACTTACTTATCACACAGAAATTGACTTCAACGGAGTTTAAATGCTGCGGGTACTACATCACGTGTCCATGACACCAAGAGAAGTTAACATCCGAGAGTATATCACTGTTGAATGAGCCATTCTCACTGACCCGAGCAGCTCATTCACCAAGTATTACCAGCCCTCGAGGTCAGAAAAACTAGAAACTAGGCTAAATGAAAATTCATCCTAATGAAGATATTAGGTAGGATCAAAAAAATTGGGTGTGCTTATTCTTGTGAAGGAGAGTGCCTTTAAGTGCACACAAAGTTCTTGATTGCT